CTCTTTGTTAAATAGTGAAATATGAACAACCACAACCCCAGTCAAAAACAAAGTTAGTTTAGGTTAAAAAATAACAACAAAAACATGTCCTAAATGCACTATTGTGATACAATTGCAAGAAACCTAACCAAAAAGATGTGAAATGGAGAAATAATGAAAATAACAAGATGTAAAATATTGAGTTAGTTCAGTGCTTGAACTTATCAATAAATCTATACAGCATGGAACCAAATTGCTTCATCTGCTCATTCTTAGAATAGAAAGACTTTGCCAAAATAAAGTCTGATATTCTCATTTATTACCTAAAAAATTAATCTTCCTTAAATTAGGATCCGAATTTTTTTTCAATGTACACAAGATTATTCCTTTGCTGAGCCCCAAACTCAGGTGAAACAAAAGTCTTCATTAAATGACAGATTTTAGGAATATAATTTATCATCCCATTTACAATTAATGTAGAGTATGAAGAGAGTTGGTCCTAGAACGCTGCCTTGGGGGACACCACTATTGACAGGTACAGAATTTGAGAGGACACTCCCAATTTTGACCATTTGTTGTCTGTTTGACAGGAGTGCTTCTATCCAGTTATGCTGGTGGTGTCCAGAGATACCATAAGATTTTAGTTTTAGGAGTAGTTTGTCGTGTCCCACTGAATCAAAGGCTTTACAGAAGTCTATGTAGATTGCAGCTATTGCTTTGCCCTGATCGAGTTGTGTTGTCCATATGTTTTTGCAGTGTAAGATATATATTTCATGGGTAGATTCTGCCGTAGGAAGAACTGCCTCACTGGATGACAAAGGGGGGGGTGGACAGAGAGGTAGCGAGAGGGAAGCCTTTCCTGCTACTTCCAAGCCCATCATCCCTGCCCTTCCCACTCCCAGGCACTCCTCTTTCCCACCCTTTCTACCCTCCTGGCCCTATGCCCCAGGTCCACCAGGGGGCGCACTTAGCCAAGGGAAGGGAAATCCAGGCGCTTCCCCATTGGGCCACTGGAGGGCGAACATCAGGGCTGCCAGTCTAGAGGCGGCAGCGAAGGAAGCGACATCACTTAAAGGCTTGCCACTCTAGGACGCCGCACTCGCTCTCCTCAACCCCTGGAGCTCGCGGGAGAGTCCGGCAGGGGTGGACATCCAGATGTGCCCCTGGTGAGGGGGGGGCTCTTCCCGAGTCCCATGCTCCCCAGCCGCCCTCTCCATGAGAAGTGGGGGGGGACCCTGGGCCCTGCGCTGGGAGGAGCTGGTTGGGGAAGGGGGTGCAGGGGCTGAATCCCCCTTTCTGATCCTGGGTGTTGGTTTTTCTCTCCCTCCCAGATCCGGAACCTCGGAGCCCTCAGAAGCCTTTGCAAGCCAGGATTTCCTTGGCGAGGGAAGGAAGGAAGCAGAAGGACCGGCAGGGATCCGTCCTGCTGCCCCAGAAATGGTCCCGTGAAGGAAGAGGCCCCTGGAGAGCCCCCCAGGGTCTCTGCAGCCCTTTGGAGATGCTCTGCTGGAGAGAAGAAGGATGGAGACACCCCCCCCCTTTGTCCAAGGAGGGGAGCAGAAAAGACCTCACAACTCTTCAGTCTGGGAGCCGTGGGGAGAGCTGGACCAGAACCGGGCAGAAGGTCCTGCAGGAGGGAACCCTCCTCCCTTCAGAACTTCCACCCTGGACCTCCATCCGATACCGGGAGGCTGAGGGTCCCCGAGGACTTTGCAGCTGACTCCACGACTTGTACAGGCGATGGCTGAGCCCAGGAAAGCACAGCAAAGCCCAGATGCTGGACCTGGTGGTTCTGGAGCGGTTCCTGGCTCTCCTGCCCCCAGAGATGGAGGGCTGGGTGTGGGAGTGTGGAGCAGAGAGCAGCTCCCAGGCGGTGGCTCTGGCGGAAGGCTTCCTCCTGAGCCAGGCGGAGGAGCAGAAAGAGCAGCTCCAGCGGCAGGTGGGAGACTTTAGGGAGCTCGGAAGGGAATAAAGAGAGTGCTTGAATGCTTCACCCCTCCTTCCCAAACTTCTCCCACGTTCATAATATGAGGCAGTTCTCCAGTTCTGGTATGATGTTGTTCCACTGTTTTCTCATTCAGCCGGAGTGAGAAACGGATGGATATTGGGGGCTTTGAAGTTGTGCTCCGAATAGAAGAATCCACTTTATGTCTTGTGACGTATATTAATTCCGCTTCTTTTTTCCTTCCTCCTATTTGAAGTGCTGCAGTGTGGAGATCAGAGATCCTGAGGGAAGGAAGAACCCATCAAATCCCCCTCAGGAGCTATTTTTCAGGAAGATCCCTTGGGAAGATCCAAGACAGGACCCCTCAGGAGGTAGTGGAAGATCCTCCGATTCCCCATCTGTCTTCCCTTCGCTCTCACTTCTCTCCTTTAGAATACCTCCTCCTATTTTGCTAATTATGCATTTTGAAATTATTTATTCCTTACAGAGAAACAAAGAATGAAGCTTTCTGGTTTTTATGAGAGAGATCAAAGAGTGGTTGAACCTCCAAATCAAGCAAGAAAGGGAAAAGATATTAGATTTCTATTCTCCCTTCAGGAAGTGAAGCGGGCGTGCAGAGGGCTCTCTCCTTCTATTTCCCTCTTGTTTGGCCTGGATTATTTTTGTGTTTTTCCACAACATGGAGAGCAGAATAGCAGGTTCAAGTTGCTGTCAGCCAGCATAGCTTCGTCTGGTTGTCTTGTTCTACTAGGTTCTCCTCCAACTTGTAGTTTAGAAGAAGCAATTTTTTAAAAGTCCTTCAAGAAATAGGAATAAATGTATCATTACAGTGGCAGGAATTGCTAGAGACCCCCCCCTTTTTTGGTAATTCTTTGACTCGGAATGGTGCAAGGCTGATGAAAACAATAAATAAATACATTGCTACATTAGCCTTTTTAAAAAGCCTTATTTATAACCTGTAGTTCAAAAATAAGGAAATCGTATTAAAAAATAAAGCAGACTATTAAAATCCAAACGTTGTGGCCATGTTGAGCATGTAATCATGGTACTTTGGGCTACAAAATAATTTCCAATCCTCTGATTTGCACCTCGATTAGGAGATTCTGTTGGTTTTTTTTTTTTTTTTTTGTCAAATATGCTGGCTCACATTTAAGTAGTTGTCCCCTAGGACTCCAAGATCCCTGTTGCACTTACTGCTGTTCAGCCAGGTATCGCTATTCTATGCCAGTACATTTGGTTTTTGTTTCCTAAATGTAGAACCTTACATTTCTTACTGTTGATTTCCTTTTGTTAGATGGAGCCCAATCTGTCGATCCTTCTATATCTCGAGCTTATCCTCTGGAGTGTTGGTATTCCTGTCAGTCTGGTCTTGTGTGCAAATTTGATGAGTTCCCCTTCTATCCTCTTGTCTAAATCAATGATGAAGATGAACAGATCTTGCAAATTCTCCTGTTCTGTTCTTTCTCCACGTTCAGGAGAGTCTGGTGTCCTTCGAGGAAGTGGCTGTGTATTTCTCTGAGGAGGAATGGTCTCAGCTGGATCCTGCCCAGAAAGCGCTGCATTCGGAAGTCATGCTTGAAAACCATAGGAACGTGTTCTCTCTAGGTAAGAGTTTTCTAGTCCCCAATCAAGAAGAGAGATTATAATTAGTTTTTTATTTAAAAAAAAAACACTAATCAAATATTGTCTCCTGGGAGGGAGAAGGAAAGGATTTGGCCTTGTCGTGCTCCAAGGAAGGAAAGAGTCAATGTCTCTTTCCTTAGATGTGTTCTCTGCCATTTCTTATCTGTGTTTTTTCCATTTCTATTTGAACTTATCTGTGGAGGCTGAAACGAATGAGGTGTGCTTTTATGTGGAGGTCATGTGAGAGGAGTGTGTTGTCATTTCTCCTCTGAAACCTCTAAATTATGTGAGAA